CAAAAGAGCCAAATTTCGGCCAGGCTATTCCTCTAATTTTCCCGGTATAGGGCCAAACATCCATAGAGAGTCTAACTACCTCCCGCCTTTTTAAAGATGTCTCAGGGCCAGTTAAATCATCCCAATACCGTAAAACCAAAGCAAGAGGGGTTCCCTCTGGAATTTCCTCTTTAGCTTGTGTACATCCCATGTTAACAAACAACACACAAGGAAAACGACAGATCTAACTTAGAACTCACAGCCACACACACACCACAGACCTTGTGTCTAATCCAGACACTACCAGGTTCAGGCAGAAACACAGAGTTTCAAGCGGGAGCGTCCCCCTCTCCGGCCACACCTGGCCAACAAGAAACCCGAAATCCTCCTGCCTGCCCTAACTTAAACTTTCCGGGCAATTCCACTGCCCACTCTGGCAAAAATCCCTTTGCCAACAGACTGGGAAAACACTGACTTTGGGCCCAAGTCCAAGTTTCCCTTCCCAGCCTCACCGTATTCCCTAGCCCTGGGAAACTCCTTCCCGCAGCTGCTAATTAAAATTCTCTAGGAGTTTTGTTCTTTATCTTACCTCCTCCACGTGCGGTTCCGAAGCTGGGCCCCCAAGATCAGAGCAGGAATTCTTCAAGATATGCCGGCCGGAAAGAAATCCCTGCAAAGCGGAATACCGATCCAGAGGAGTCACAGGTCTCGATTCCCCGTACGGGCCACCAAAACTGTTGCCTAAATGGCTGTGGGGAAAAAAAGACTCCAAGCTAAATTAGGTAGGAGATAAGATAAGGATACAAAAGTTCTAATGAGCCCCCAGACTTTCTGGAATACCCCAGCGCACACGCTCCCGAAATACAGATGTCCACAGTTTTTATAATGATTTTTGCCCAATCCCCGTCCTGTCACCACCCAGGTTCTGCCCCCGCCACGCCTCTTGAGAATTGGGTCTGGGGGCGTTTTGGGACCCCCTCTTCTTCATCTTCATCTTCCTCAGAGCACGTAATGTCCTTAGACGCCTTCCAGAATTCTAGGCCTGAAGGTTGTTGGGTCTATGGCTATATCTTGTTCCGTAGGGTTAGGGTGTTCTTCTACAATTCTACCTTGAAAAAGAGACTAAACAGGCTATGGAATTTAGGGAATTGATATGGGAATGTGTAACAGGGGTTTGAGCTGGTGTGTTAAGGGTAAAGGGATAATATGCTGCTACTCTAAAATCTACATTTACTACATAACTACTTCTAAGGTCTACAAAAATAAAAAAATTAAAACATCAAAACTCCAAGGTATCAAAAGGATAGTTGTGATGTCACAGACATAACAGTGATGTCACAGGGGTCTGGTGACATCACAGGGACATTGGTGACAACACGGGGACAAGGTGCCACTGCTGGGGACAGTGGTGACACCACAGGGGCAGCAGTGACATCATTGGGGACCAATGACATCAGAGGGGACCGGTGACAATGAAAGGATAGCTGTGATGTCACAGGGAAATCAGTGACATCAAATAGGACATTGGTGACTTCACAAGGGCAGGGGTGAAATTACAGAGACAACAATGACATCACCGAGGATATTGGTGACATCACAGTGACATGGGTGACATCACTGGGGACCAGTGACATAACAGGGGACTGCTGACAACAAAGAGAAAGCAGTGATGTCACATGGACATTGGTGACATCAAAGGGGACATCGGTGACTTCACAAACTCAAGGATGACATGACAGAGAGCAGTGACATCATCGGAGACTGGTGACATCACAGGGACATCGATCACATCACAGGGACATGATGCCAGCGGTGGGCACAGTGGTGGAATCACAAGGACAGGAGTGACATCACAGAGACACCATTTATATCATCGGGGACATTGCTGACATCACAAGGGTCAACAGTGACATCACAGGGGACAGTGGTGACATCACAAAGGACGGGTGACATCACAGGGACATTGGAGAAACCACAGGGAGGAGGTGCCAGTGCTGATGTCAGAGGTGGCATAAGAGGGACCGCAGTGATATCATTGGGGAGCAGTGACATCGCAGGGGACTAATGAGAACAAAGGCTAAACCCTGTTGTCACAGGGACATCGGTGACATCACAGGGGACGTCAGTGACTTCACAAGGACAGGAGTGACATCACAGAGACACCAGTGACATCATCTGGGACATTGCTGACATCACAGGGGACACTGGGGACATCACAGGGACATCCTTGAAATCACTGGGGAACATTGAAATTACAGTGGAATGGTGAAAACAAAAGGACAGCAGCGATGTCACAGGGACATGAATGACATCACAGGGACATCGGTGAAATCACTGGGGAACAGTGACATTACAGGGGAATGGTGAAAACAAAGGGACAGGCATGATGTCACAGGGAGATCCTGACATCACAGAGGACATTGGTGACATCACAAGGAACGGTGGTGACATCACTGGGAGAACAGTGAAATCATTGGGGACCAGTGACATCACAGGGAACTGGTGACAATAAAGGGAAGCTTTGATGTCACAGGGACATCAATGACATCACAGGGGACATCAGTGACTGCACAAGGCCAGGGGTGACATCAGAGACACCAGTGACATGATTGGTGACACTGGAGACATCACAGGGACATCAATGACATCATTGGGGACCAGTGACATCACAGGAGACTGGTGGAAAAAAAAAGGGACAGGTGTGACATCTCAGGGACAGCAGTGACATAAAAAGGGACAGGTGTGACATCTCAGGGACAGCAGTGACATCAGAGGGGAAAGCAGTGACTTCACAAGGACAGGGGTGACATCACAGTGACACCTGTGACATTACAGTGGACAGCGGTGATATCACAGGGGCAGCTGTGACATCTCTGGGGACACAGAGACCACCCCTGGGATACCATTGACATCACAGGGGACAGTGGTGACACCCATGAGGACAGCAGTGACATCACTGGAGGCCAGTGACATCACAGGGACATCGGTGACATCACAGAGACATGGTGTTACCATTGGGGACAGTGGTGACATCACAGAGACAGCAATGCCTGATAACAGCAAAGGCACAGCAGTGATGTCACAGGGACGTTGATGACATCACAGGGGACAAGGATAACAACACAGATACACCGGTGATATCATGGGGGATATTGGTGACATCACAGGGGACAGTGGTGACAATACAGGGACAGAAGTGACATCATTGTGGACCAGTGACATCACAGAACACTGATGAAGACAAAGGGGCAGCCGTGATCTCCCAAGGACATCAGTGACATCACAGGGGGCATTGGTGACTTCAGAAGGACAGGGGTGACATCGCAGAGACACCAGTGACATCATCAGTGACACTGGTGATGTCACAGAGACAGCAGTGACATCACTGGGGACCAGTGATGTCACAGTGAACTGGTGACCACAAAGAGACAGTTGTGATGTCACAGGGCTATCAGTGACAGCACAGAGGACGGGGGTGACAACACAGAGGACAGAGGTGACATCACAGGGACATCGGTGACATCATTTGGGACCAGTGACATCACAGGGATCTGATGACATCACAGGGACATTGGTGACATCATGGGGACATGATGCCACCACTGGGGACAGTTGTGACATCACAGGGAGAGCAGTGACATCACCAGGGACATTGGTTACATCACAGGGGACAGTGGTGACATCACAGTGACATCGGTGACATTATTGAGGACGAATGGCATTACAGGGGACTGGTGACAACAACGGGGTAGCTGTGATGTCACATAGACATCAGTGACATCAGAGGGGACAGCGGTGACTTTACAAGGACATGGGTGACATCACAGTGGACAGCGGTGACATCACAGGAACAGCAGTGATATCATTGGGGAGAGCGGTGACATCACCGGGGCAGTGGTGACATCACTTGGGACACAGGGAACACCCCTGGGGATAGCAGTGACATCACAGGGACAGTGGTGACATCTGTGGGGACAGCAGTGACATCACTGGAGACGAGTGACATCACAACTGTCTGCTGACATCACAAGGATGGTGATGAAATCAACTGGACAGCTGTGACATAATTGGGAATACCAGTGACATCACAGGGACAGTGGTGACATCATTGGGGATGTTGGGGATGTTTGGGGGCCTTTGGGAGGGCACCTGCCTGGGGGGTTTTCATGCGAGCATGGACGACTCAGCACACCCATGTGATGATCAGAGAGCGCTGTTGATTGGAATCAAGCAGCAGTCTTTTATCCAGTTTTCTAACAATACTCTTCTATCAGCTCTGTTTCTTTAACATTCTTTATGTCCTTTCCCACTCTGAGAGCCGGTACTGAGACCCTGTTTTCTATATCTACTGTTTGTCTTGGTAGATCTTTCACATCCTGGTACCATCAGAAGGTCATCACAACAACAGATCATGTTTTCACAACTGAAACATAAGGCTATGTTCTCAGAGCTGCAGCATATCCTCTATATTAGCACTAAAAATCCCTACACTTCCCCCTTTTTCTTTAAACAAAGCAGACACAGTTTGAGCCATTAAGCTGCACAAACATTGAACCAGACATGGCAGAAAAATACACACTCCTGGAAGCAGAAAGACAACGGGTGCCAACCATTGTACAGTTTGCATAAGCTGATTCTGGGGGCGCTTTGGGAGGGCACCTGCCCTTCAGCACCAGGACTGCAGAGAACTGGGAAGCTTTACTGGGAGCACTGGGAGCAGCAGGCGGTTGGTGTGAGAACAAAAGCAGGGCCAGGGGACACACGACCCCCCAGACTCCGGGTAGGGATGGACTGGGGGGTCCAGGCTGGGCCCGAGGCCATGGGGAGGGGCTGCAGCCGCCGCCAGTTCAGGAGCTCTGTGGAGAGAGAAAAGGGGTGACAGCGGGCTGTGGGGGCAGGGGGCACACATGCTCTGGGGAAGGGGGGATACGACCTCCCGGGGACCCCCCTTTACCTTCTCCCACAGGTAGAAGCCGAGCCCCAGTGCCAGGAAGACGAAACCCAACACGAAGCCCCCAACCCCCACCAGGATCTTGCTGTGGACGGTGTCCTGTGGCATCTCTGGGAGGAGTCGGGGGGGGTCAGGACCCCCCAAAACCTCCCAGAGACCACCCACGACCTCACAAACCCCATCCTGGTCTCCTTCAGCCCACCCAGGACCCTCTGAAACCTCTTCCCAATCCCTTCTGTATTAGTTTGTTTGAATCTAAGCCCGGAACAAAGCCAAGTACAACAGTCATTCAAACACTACAAAAAATCTTTCAGTGCAGCAAGAGTAAAAAAACTACTAGCAAAGAGAATCAAAAGCTGAAAAAGAAGACAAAACCACTACTTTATCGCTGGCATTCATACAATACTACAAACAGCCTCTATTACAGCATTAGCTAGTAAAAAGGGAAACAAAGGGATTTAAAAAGGGAGATAAAATGTTTGCTTTCTTGGTTGCTTCCTATCAATAAACTGTGCTCACCTGCACAGACAGGCCAGGCCTACCAGGCTCTGCAGGGCTGGTCGATGCCCGTGCTTGGCGGGTGTCCCCGCGGAGCAGCACAGTGTGGATGGAAGGATGAGCATCGCTCCACCCAGCAGTGCTGACACCCCATTCCATCAGCTCTACATTACACTACGTAGGGCCAGGACGCAGCAGAAGGTGGTGCTTGAGTGGCAGCCAAACAGCGCCCGTTTGTCACCTCATGGCAACAGTCTGGGCATGCCCCACTGTAGGGCAAGGGGCCAACAACCCCTGCCCACATCATCTTCCTCTCCATCACCTTCCTCAGCCCTATGGACGACCTGTACCATTGTGTTTCAAGGGGATTTGTATCTCTCTCGCAGAGTGGAGCCAAGCCAAGGAGAAACTCAGCTCTGATAATGGGGGACATTCAGTTAACTTTGCTAAAGGCACAATGGGCCTTACAGTGAACTTGTGCAATAAAGTTACATTGTACAATATTCTGGTTGGTTTCACATGCAAATATAATCACTTTCTCACCCCTCTGTGCTCCATTGATCATCTGAATCAAAAGTACCCCCCTTACATCATGGCAATCATTATGCATTATCATTGTTTAAAGTGGTTACCATGGCAACCATTGTGCATTCTCATTGTGACCTCAGTTACCATGGAAACCATAATGCATTCTCCTTGTGACCTCACTTACCATGGCAACCATTGTGCATTCTGGTTGTGACTTTGGTTACCATGGCAACCATTATGCATTCGCATTGTCACATCCGTTACCATGGTAACCATTATTCATTTTGGTTGTGACTCGGTTTCCATGGAAACCATCATGCATTCTCCTTGTGACCTAACTTACCATGGCAACCATTGGGCATTCTCATTGATATGTGGGTTACCATAGCAACCATTGTGCATTTACATTGCTAGAGTCGGTTAATAAGGTAACCATTATGCACTCTTATTGATATGTTGCTTACCATGGCAACCATCATACTATCCCATTGCTACAGTCAGTTACATGGCAAGCATTATGCATTCCATTTGTTATGGACAGTTATCATGGCAATCATCATACATTCCCATCAGTAGGATCTGTTACCATGGTAACCATTATGCATTCCCTGTTATGTCGCTTACCATGGCAACCATCTGTAACACAGAGATAATATAGAAATGCCAAAAATTGTTTCTGCCTATCAAAAACTTCCTATCTAACATTGTCAGCTCTCTGTCAGAAGTTCCCACCAGCACTTCCTACAGTACTTTTCCTGCCAAAACATCCTGCCATTGTTTATGGTTACCGTATCTCCACCAACATCTGAACTGGCTATGTGCCAAGAAACCACGTACAATCTCCTTTGAACACTATAAAAGTTGAGGGCAAATTTTGGAAAATCAGGGAGAGGAAAGGGAGAGAGAGCTGGTGACTGTAGCCGAGAATCTCTGCCCACCTCCCCTCACCTTTTCTCCGCCACCGTGTGCTGCCTGCCTGCCACCGGAGACTGGAACTGTGCCAGCCTGGAGAGAGCTGAGACCACCGTGCCACATGTGGGAGTTCTACCTTATCCTTCTACCCTGACCATATTTCTGAGGGTCCAAAGCTTCGGCTGAGTTGAGACCCTGCACGGCCTGGGACAGGGGCATGAGCGGTGAAACCACACATGGTGCATTGCAGAGAACTAAAGCTGTCAGACCGCCTGCAGCTACAGAGATAACATCCAAAAGCTGCAGAGACAGAGAAAATAAAAGGTAGTAACTGCTCTTTTCCCCCCCACACAGACCAGCTCAGTGGGAAAAGGTAGTTTTCAGTGGTATCTTTTCTCTGCTTCTAGAAATAATCTTAGCAGTTTCCAACCTTTTCTTACTTTTTCCTTTCTCTTTGCAATTCTTAGCACATAATAAAATCAGTTTTTGGTATCAACAGATAACGTGTGAGTTTTAATTTTCCTCAAGGGAATATTCGAATCTGAAGGTTTTTTTGCAATATTTAAGCAGATTGTAGAGGGGACCATGGCAAAGTGGGAGGAACAGGGAGAAGAGTGGAAAAGAGGGGGTAGTCTGGCAGGTCTGATGGTCCCATGGGGGTTTTTGGGCACAGGGTAGTTTACAAAAGGGGGGTGGCCCCCCTGGGTTCTCAACTTACTGTGAGGTTCTGGGGCTGCTGGATCAAATCTCAGCCTTGGGTTATGCCAACAGGTTCAGTTTAGAGGAATTACAGAGGTGGGACTGAATCACTTTTGTCCCTCAGGTTTTAAGAATGGCAAATCAGATCTACTGATAGAAATGAATCATTTAGGGCTACAAATGATCAGACAAAATCTCTTTATCACAATTATTTACTGCACAATAGAAACACTAAAACTGTCAGTAGTACTGCATAAGATAGGACAGTGCTCTACACTAAAGCAATTCTTAGATCAATTCTACTCAAGTTGGCACCAAAGCAAGAATTATGAATTAAAGATGGATGGAACTCCCTGAGACCAATACTCGTGGGGAGATCTCTGCTCTCAACCTCCAGCAGTGACCTTGGGAGGTCCCCAGCCAAGGCAGGAATCTCCACACACCCCCAAGAAGGGTTCTGTTGGCACAACCTGCCCCTGCAAAGGGGACTGGCCCTTTCTGGTAGAAAGGGATGGACTGACAGTCACTGGACTCCAGGGGTTGCCTCACCATCAGGGGGGGCATTCGGGGTGGGAGCAGCGGCCAAAGCTCTTCCCGCAGTTGGGGCACTCGTGGGGCTTCTCTTACTGGTGGGTCCGTTGGTGTCTGGTCAAGGCAGAGCTGTGGGTGTAGCTCTTCCCACACTCCCCACACTTGTAGGGCCTCTCCCCAATGTGGAGGCGCTGGTGGGTGACGAGGGTGGAGTTCCGGGTGAAGCCCTTCCCGCAGTCGGTGCAGCGGAAGGGCCTCTTCCCTGTGTGTGTCCGTTCATGCCTGAGGAGATTGGAGCTGCTCTGAAACCTCTTCCCACATTGCAAGCACTTGTAGGGTCGTTCCCCAGTGTGGATGCGCTGGTGGATGCGGAGGCTGGAGCTGATCCTGCAGCTCATCCCACATTCCCCACATGTGTAGGGTTTTTTCCCAGTGTGGATGTGCTGGTGTTGGATCAGGATAGAGCTGACACTGAAGCTCTTCCCACATTCCATACACACGTAAGGCCGTTCCTTAATGTGGATCTGCTGGTGCCTGAGGAGTTCAGAGCTCTCCCTGAAGCTCTTCCCACATTCCCCACACGTGTAGGGCTGTTCTCCAGTGTGGATGAGCTGGTGCCTGACGAGGTGGGAGATCTGCCTGAAGCTCTTCCCACATTCCCTACACATGTAGGGCCGTTCCCCAGTGTGAATGTGTTGGTGCCTGAGGAGATTAAAGCTCTGCCTGAAGCTCTTCCCACATTCCAAGCACCTGAAGGGCTTCTCCCTGCAGGGAGGCTGCTCAGGGACCACCAGCTCAGAGCTCTGGCTCAATCTCCGGCCGCCTTCCCGGTACAGGCCGGGTCTTTCCTCCTCAGAGCTCCCTGGGCTGGCTTTGCAGCCCCTCCTCCGGGGGCATCTCTGGGTCTTTTCCTCCCGGCTGCCTTCCTGCGCCGGGGAGCCCTTCAAAACAGCCTCTCCCACCAGGATCTGCCAGGGGGATTTGTCCTCCGTGCTCTCCGTCCTCAGCTCGGGGCCTGGGGCAGGAAGGAAGAAGGACAGGCAGGGGATTTGCCTCCGGTCCAGAGGGAAGGCCAAGGACATCCCCCAGATCCAGCCCTGGCAGGACGGCGGCGCCAGCGGGGTTGTCCTGCAGCCGGGGGCGATGCTCGGCTGCCACAGGAACCACAAGACAGGGCCAAAGGGGCACTGACTTCCTCCTCACCTGCCTGGGGGGCCCGTGGGTTTCTCCTCTTCCTTGCAGCCTCCTCCTCCATCCACCCAAGCTTTGGGAAGGACAAATCCTGCTGGGGGGAAACAAGGGCTGAGCACGTTGGCTTGGGGGTTCCTCCTGCCCAAGTCCATCTCTAGAACTTACCGGGCATCCTGGGACCATAAAAACCTCCAAAACATCAAAATTAAGCCCAGAAAATCCCAATCTGTCGACATTCAGGAAAAAAAACCCCTAAGAAATAGTGGAATGGACACCCTTCCATCACAGTGCAAAAAGTTAAGCCAAAATATGAAGATTGATGCCAAAAATACTCTCCCAGGAGTTCCCCCTCTCTGGTCTCTCCCCTCTGGGGTTCAGAGGGTCTCTCCTGTTGGGGGTCCCACTAAGGGATGCTGGGAGTGTTGGGCATCCCAAGGGTCCCTTCTCCTCTGACTCTCACCTTCGGGGTGCCGCCTTCCCAGACATTCCCCCTCTCCAGGTTCTCCACCTTGTTGTCCCAGGGATCCCAGGGGTCCCCTCTCTCCAGGTTTCCCCTTCTCCGCTCCCCCCGTTTCAGGCTCCCGGGGCTCCTCCCTCTCCGTGCTCCTCCCTCCAGCCTGCCGGGGGTCCCCCAGCTCCGGCATCGCCCGCTCCGCCCTCCACCCTCAGCAGCTCCCAGAGGGACCCCAAAACTGCTGTGTCTCCCCAGCCAGCCCCAGGCTGACAGTGGCCCTGACCCTGTCCCTGCTCCTCCCTGCAGGCTCCGTGGCCGGGCACACTTTGTGTTCCTGGGGGCCACCAGCTCAGCAGCTGCAGCCACTCCAATCAGCGCCCGCAGCTCTGCAGCAAAGCCCCAGCTCACCTGGCACACAGGGCATGCACAGAGCACCTTCTCGCTGCTGGGCACTCCCAGCTCAGCCTCTTCCCCAGCACGGGGCTCTCCTGCCTCAGCACCACCTCTGCCTTCCACTTCTTCTCAGGGCCACCTCAGGGCCTGCTCTGGGCTCACCTCCGGGCCATTGCTCAGGGACACCTCAGGGCCTGCTCTCCAGGACAGGAACCTGCAGGGAGGGCAGATGATGTGCAAGCCCAGGGGGGCCTGCTTGCACTGGCCTGGGGGCTTCTTTCTCCTCCCACAACCACCCCACAACTTCTCCTGCTTTTCTAACCCCACATCTTTGCAGACTGACCTTGTCTCTGTGTCTGCACAGACACATCTATCCCCTGTGGACAGAGCCTCCAGCATGTGCTGCCCTGGCAATGGCACCCAGAGAATCCCAGAATCAGCCGGCTTGGAAAAGACCTCCCAGATCATCAAGTGCACCCCTTGATCCAACCCCGTTGTGGTTCCCAGTCTGTGGCACGGATGCCCAGGGGAGGGGCTTTGGGGATGAGGGGTCCCCCAGTACAGCCCAGCGCCCCCAGCACAGTCCACTGTGTTCCTGTCCCAGGGTGCCAGGTGATCCCTCTCTGGGGTGTTTGATTGGGATTTGGGGTATTTTGGGGGCCTCTGGGTGCATTTGGGGGAGTTAAAAGAAGTCTTGGGAGCATTGGGGGGTCAAAGGGATCTAGGGGGGGGAGGGGATTAAAGGAAAAATGGGGGTTAGGGGACATTTGGGGGCCTTATTGGGGCCTGGGGGGGAGATAAGGGGCAGCTCCACAAGCAGGTGAGTCCTGAGACCCCCCTGGTGTCCCCAAGACCCTCCTGCTGTCCTCAATTTCCCACTTGGCACCCCGAGACCCCCCTGGTGTCTCCAGTGTCCCCAGGGCCTCCCCATGGCCCCAATTCCCCCCTTGACACCCCCCATTCCACTGGCCCCAAACCCCATCCCTGATGTCCCCAACCCTCCATCTCCCCCCCCAATGCCCCCCTGGACCCTCTGACCTCCAAAATGGCCCCGTCCCCCCAAGCTCACAGAAAAGCCAAGGGCATCTGGGGACACACTGGGGACACCTGGGGGGCTTTGGGGGCACTGGGTGATTACTGGGGGATACTGGGACACACTGGGTGGAACCAAGGGGCACTGGGAGGGACTGGGGGGTTATTGAGGGATGCCGGGAGGGCACTGGGAGGGACTGGGTGATTACTGGGGATTACCAGGACACATGGGGAGACACTGGGAGGTTACTGGGCCATACTGGGGGTTACTGGGTGCTCACTGGACGATCATTGGGCCATACTGAGAGCCACTGGGAGGTCACTGGGCTATACTGGGGGCACTGGGATGTGGTTCATCTCTCTGCAAAGATTTTGGGTGGCACCACCAGGACCACTGCCGTGAGGACTGGGAGACCCCCTGAACCCCTCTGATGGGCTTTGGGGACCCCCGGGATCCCCTCCCTGTGGGGTCTCTGTGTGCTGAGTTTTGGGGGTCTCTGGGGTTTGGGGGGTCATTAAGATCCCCCTTTCCCTGGGGTGGGTCCGCCTGGTCGGCAGGGGGCGCTGTGGCACTTTGACCCCTCCCCCCCAAATTCCCAGCCCCTCCTCTTTGTCCCTGTTCCCTCCCTTGACCCCTCCCTCGCCCCTCCCCTCAAAATTCTCAGTCCCTCCTCCCTCCCTTTTGGCCCCTCCCTTTCTTAAAAAGCCCCTCCCCTCACCCTTTCTGGTCCCTCCCCCCAATTTTTTCAGCCCCTCCCCCCCATTTCTGGCCCCTGCCCCCACTTCCTCCTCCTCCGTCAATTAAAATCGGCCCCTTTGTTTGGGGTTAAAAAAAACAAAAGAAAATAAATCTCAATTTTACTCTTTTTTTGTTTGGGGTTTTTTTGTTGTTGTTGTTGTTGTTGTTGGATTTTTTGTTTCTTTGTTTTTGGGTTTTTTAATTCATTTCCCATTGATGTCAATTTCCCATTTTTTATTCATTTCCCAATGACGTCACCTGAGGCCCTCCAGTGACATCACCAGTTCCCCTTCGATGACGTCACCACCGTCTGCTGTGACGTCACCACACGTCGATGATGTCACTGTTGACCCCAGTGACGTCACCTTTCCCCCTCGATGACATCACCGCTGACCCCAGTGATGTCACAGACCCACGATGACGTCACTGCTGACCCCAGTTACGTCACAGACCCACGGTGACATCACCGCTGTCCCAGATGGCGTCACAGACCCACAACGACGTCACCAGTTCCTCCGATGATGTCACCGGGCCACAATGACATCACCATTTTCCCTCAATGACATCACCACTGACCCCAGTGATGTCACAGACCCACGGTGACATCACCGCTCTCCCCGATGATATCACTGGTGTGTGTGTCCCAGTGACCACCAGTTCCCCATAATGACATCACCGGTCCACAATGACATCATCACTTCCCCCCGAATGATGTCACTGGGTGCCCGATGACATCACTGGGTTCCCGATGACATCACTGAGTGCCCGATGACATCACTGAGTCCTTGATGCCGTCACTGAGTCTCCGATGACGTCATGGGGACAAACTGGGCCAAACTGGAACCAACTGGGGGCGTGTCCCCAAGGAGGGCGGAGCCGACAGCCTGGAGGTGGGACAGCAGCAAGGCCACGCCCACTGCGGGGACATTTGGGGACATTTGGGGACAGTTTGGGGACATTGAGGGGACATTGGGGGACATTGAGGGGACATTGGGACATTTGGGGACACACCCACCTCTGCCAGGGGGTGGCATCTTCGTGTCCCCTCCTGGGGTGGCCTCGGGTGGGGGTTGGGGACAACCCTGGAGGTGACAAAGAGGGGACACCGACCTGGGGGGGACACCAGTTTGGACCAGTTTGGCCCAGTGACCTCCCAGTTTGGCTGAGTGACCTCCCAGTTCATCCCAGTTTGTCCCAGTCCCTCCCACTCCCTCCAAGTTTGTCCCAGTGCCCACCAATCCCCTCCCAGTTCCTCCCAGTGCCCCCCAGTTTGTCCCAATCTCCACCCAGTCTCTCCCACTTGCTCTCAGTCCCTCCCAGTCCCCCAGTCCATCCCAATCCCCTCCCAGTCCCTCCCAGTTTGTCCCAGTCCCTCCCACTGCCCCCCAATCCCCTCCCAGTTACTCCCAGTCCCCTCCCAGTCTGTCCCAGTTTGTCCCAGTGTCCCCTCCCAGTCCCTCCCAGTACCTGTCCAGTGCCTGTCCCAGTTCCCCCAGTGCCGCCTCGGCCGCCTCGGCCCGGAGACGCTGCCAGGTCACCTCCTGTCCCCAAATGTCCCCAAATGTCACCAAAATGGCCCCAAATGTCCCTAAAGGGCCCCAAAATGTTCCCAAATGGCCCCAAAATGGCACCAAATGGCCCTAAAATGTCCCTAAATGTCCCCAAAATTGCCTCAAATGGCCATAAAATGTCACCAAATGGCCCCAAAATGTCCCCAAATGTCCCCAAAATGTCCCCAAATGTCACTGAACTGTCCATACAGTGACACCAAATATCCCCAGGGTGCCACCAAATGGCCCCAAATGTCCCAAAGTGTCCCCAAAGTGACACCAAATGTCACCTCCTGGGACAGGACCTGCCACCAGTGTCCCCAAATGGCTCCAAACGGCTCCCAACTGGTCCTAAATGACACCAAAAATGCCCCCAAAGTGTCCCCAATGTCCCCCCAATGTCCCCTCACCTGTCCCCAGATGTCCCCATGTGTGTCCCACCTGTCCAGATGTCCCCAAATGTCCCCAGGTGTGTCCCAGGTGTGTCCCCAAGTCCCCAGGTGTCCTCAGGTGTGTCCCCAGGTGAGTCCCAGGTGTGTCCCCAATGTCCCCCTGTCCCCAATGTCCCCTTCCCTGTCCCCAGTGTCCCCAGTGATGTCCCCAGGTGTCCCCAATGTCCCCAGCTGTGTCCCAGATGTGTCCCCAATGTCCCCTCACCTGTCCCAGGTGTGTCCCCAGGTGTGTCCCCAATGTCCCCTCACCTGTCCCAGGTGTGTCCCCAGGTGTGTCCCCTCCCCAGGTGTGTCCCCTCACCTGTCCCAGGTGTGTCCCAGGTGTTCCCAATGCCCCCCCAATGTCCCAGGTATGTCCCAGGTGTCCCCAATGTCCCCTCACCTGTCCCAGGTGTCCCCAAATGTCCCCAGGTGTCCCCCCCCAGGTGTGTCCCCTCACCTGTCCCTCCTCCCGCAGCCGCCGCTCCAGCCGCGTCACCTGCCGGCTCCTCGCAGCCACCTGGGCACAGGGGACACCAAAGGTGACGTCACCTGGGGACAGGGGACACACAGGGGACCCCCAGGGGACCCCACCTGGGACAGGGGACACCAAAGGTGACGTCACCTGGGGACAGGGGACACACAGGGGACCCCACCTGGGACAGGGGACACCAAAGGTGGCCCCACCTGGGGACAGAGGTCACACAGGTGATCCCCAGGTGACAACCAGGTGACCCCACCTGGGGACAGGGGACAACCAGGTGACAACCAGGTGACAACCAGGGGACCCCTAGATGACATTACCTGTCCCCCCAGATGTGTCTTTGTGGGGGTCTCACCTGTTTGGGGGGGGGTCTCACCTGCCCAGGTGTGTCTTTGTAGGGGTCTCACCTGTTTGGAGGGGGTCCCCCCATTTTTTGGGGTCTCCCCTGTCCAGGTGTGTTTGGGAGGGTCTGGGGGGGTCCCCCCTTTTTTGGGGGGGTCTCCCCATTTTTTGGGGGGTCTCACCTGGCCAGGTGTGTCTTTGGGGGGGGTCTCCCTGTTTGGGGGGGGTCTCACCTGTTTGGGGGGGGTCTCACCTGGCCAGGTGTGTTTGGGGGTCTCTCCTATTTTCAGGGGGTCTCTCCATTTTTTGGGTGGTCTCACCATGGCAGGTGTGTTTGGGGGGGCCTGGGGGGGTCTACCCTCTTCTGGGGGGGTCCCCCATTTTTGGGGGGTCTCACCTGGTCCCGCAGGTGCCTCTCGGTGCCCTCCTGGGTCCTCACCTGCACCAGCAGCTCGAACACCTTCCGGCGCCACCCACTCACCTGCGCGGGGGGCGGGGCCTGCTGGGACCCCCCCAGAAAACGCACCTGAGCACCCCAAAAATATCGGGCACAACCCAGGGGTGTCCCCAGGTGTGTCCCAGATGTGTCCCCATCCAGGTGTGCCCAGGTGTGTCCCCCTCAGGTGTCCCCCCCCCAAAAACTCACCTGGGGGTCCTGCAGGGTCAGGAGGTGTCCGAGGGCGCTGAGACGGGCCCGGAGCTGCAACTGGGGATACTGGGAGGTTACTGGGAGGGAACTGGGAGGTTACTGGGAGCACTGGGAGGTTACTGGGAGGGAACTGGGAGGGAACTGGGAGCACTGGGAGGTTACTGGGAGCATGGGGAGCACTCACCTCCTCCGAGGGTGGCTCCGCCCCCTTGTCCTGGCCATGCCCATCCTTGGCCTCAAGCCCCTCCCCCGGGACTTGGCCACGCCCCTTCTCTGCAAGCACCGCCTCCAGAGCATGGACACGCCCCCTCAGGGCCTCAAGCTCCGCCCCCAGGGCCTGGACACGCCTCCTTTCTGCTTCAAGCTCCGCCTCCAAGGCCTGGCCCCGCCTCCTCTCGGCCTCAAGCTCCGCCTGCAGGGCCCTGGAGAGGGGACTGGGGTTACTGGGAGCACTGGGGGTTTACTAGGAGGGAACTGGGAGCACTGGGAGGGAACTGGGAGGTAACTGTGAGCACTGGGAGGCGTCACCTGGGGTGGAGCACAAAGTGGGAGGGGGGGACGAGCCCCCCCAAACTGGGAGGGGCCAACTGGGTGAACTGGGAGCTACTGGGAGCACTGGGAGGCCCGGGGGTCCATCGTCACCTTGAAGAGAGGGGGAGAAATTCCCAGTAAGGACCAGTATGCACCAGTATGGACCAGTATACCCCATCCCCAGTCCCAGTAACCCTCGTACCCTTTCTCCAGAAAGTCCCAGTAACCTCCATCCCCCATCGCAGATCCCCTCCCAGTCCCTCCCAGTCGCTCCTAGTTCCTCCCAGTCCCTCCCAGTTGCTCCCAGTCCCTCCCAGTTCCCCCTCCCAACAATCCCAGTCCCTCCCCGTTGTTCCCAGTCCCTCCCAGTTACCTCCCAGTCCCTCCCAGTCCCTCCTAGTTACCTCCCAGTCCCTCCCAGTTGCTCCCAGTCCCTCCTCCTCGCGTTCCCAGTCCCTCACAGTCGCTCCCAGTTACCTCCTAGTCCCTCCCAGTTGCTTCCAGTCCCTCCCAGTTACCTCCCAGTCCCTCCCAGTCTCTCCCAGTTCCCTCCCAGTCCCTCCCAGATCCCTCTCCCAACAATCCCAGTACCTCCCAGTCGCTCCCAGTCACTCCTAGTTGCTCCCAGTGCCCCCCAATCCCCTCCCAGTCTTTTCCAGTCCCTCCCAGTTTGTCCCAGTTACCTCCCAGTCCCTCTCAGTACCCCCCAATCCCCTCCCAGTCCCCCCAATCCCCTCTAGGTCTTTCCCAGTCCCTCCCAGTTTGTCCCAGTTACCTCCCAGACCCTCCCGCCGCTCTCCCTCGCTCCCGCCGAGACCCCGCCCCTTCTTGCACTCTGACCAATCAGAAAGTGCACGGCCCAAGTCCCGCCTCCCTTTAATCCAATGGGAGACCGAGACACCAAGAATGACGAGAAAACGGACCAATCAGAGCTCGGGGGCGGAGCCTGAAGCGTGAGGGGAACCCTGAAGAGTCAAGGGGGAGACCCGGAGGGGTAAAAATGTACCCCCTTTGGGGTAAAATTGACCTCCTGGGTGGGGTAAATTTATCCCTGGGGGGGTAAATGGGGGTCCTGGGGAGGTAAATGGGGGTCCCGGAGGGATAAATTGAGGCCCTCAAATCTCCCCTCACCCTCTTGAGTGAGTCCCGTGTGACCCCAAACCCTCCCCGCCACTCCCCCCCCTTTTTTGGCCGTTTCTCCCAAAAACCGCTTTTATTTGACGCGGCTTTTTAAATTTTTTGCCCGTTTTTGGGTCGATCGTGGCGCCCGTTGCCATGGCGACCGGCCAGGCCTCCATTGTCCCTATGGTAACGTTAATCCCGCCCCCGGCGCACTCTGATTGGCTGAGGCGACGGACGAGGCGAGCGCTGATTGGCTGAGCGGGGAACTGGGAGGAACTGGGAGCGACCCCAAACCAGTAACGGGACTGATCTGGGAACTGGGAGTGACCCCCTTTGGCCCCTCCCAAACCCTGCCCCTTTCCCCAAGCCCCGTCCCTTTCCCACGCCCCCATTCAACCCCCGCGCCGGCCCCTCCCCCTCTCTCGCCGCAGCCCCGCCCCTCTCCAAGCTCCGCCCCTTTGTGGGCGTGGCTACAAGACCGATCCGCGTTCATTTGCAGGCTCCGCTCAGCGGCGGCCCCGGAATGGGGGGGGAGGGGCAATTTTGGGTGGGTTTTGGGGTTCACGGGGAGATGGAGCCAGCCCGGCCCCACCGGGGGGGCTCGGGGGAGGTTTTTTGGGAGGGTGGGTAGGGTTTGTTTTTTTGGGAGGCGGGAGGGGCTCTGAGGGGTGGAGCCAGCCTGGCCCCCGCGGGCCGGGGAGACTCGAGTGGGTTGGGGGGGTTGGAGGGGGATTTTGGGGGTCATGGGGGGTCCATGGTGGGTTTTGGGGGGTCGATTAATGGGTGGGATCCGGGGGATGGAAAGAAGGGGGTTTGGTGAGTGGGGAGGGGCGTGGTGAGTGGAGGAGGGAAATGAAGGGGGCGTGGAGAGTTGGAGGGCGTTGTAAATGAGTGGGGAGTCGTTGGGGTGAGTGGTGAGTGGGGGGTCCCATGGATGGGAAGGGGTCGTGGGGGGTCATGGTGAGTGGGGGGACAAATGGATGGGGGGAGGGCGTGGTGAGTGGGGGGGTCCTGTGAATGTGGGGGAGTCGTGGGGGTCGTGGTGAGTGGGGGCGTCATGATGAATGGAGAGGGGTTGTGGTGAGTGGGGGGGTCCCATGGATGGGAGGTGTCGATGAGTGGGGGGTTCCATGGATGTGGGGATGTCGTGATGAGTGGGGGGTCGTGGTGAGCGGGGAGGTCGTGATTAGTGGGGGGGTGTCGTGGTGAGGGAGGGTTCTCATGGATGGGGGGAGGTCGTGGTGAGTGGGGGGGCTCGTGATGAGTCGGGTGGGGGTGGGGGCGACCTGAGACCCCCCCGGGGGGGCACAAAGAAAGCGGGGGGGGAGAGGTGTCCAGACCCGACGCACGAGTGGGGAGGGTTGAGGGGGGTCCCAGGGCACGAGTGGAGGGAGGGGGGCCGGACCCCAATCCCGATGCACGAGGGGGGGTCCCGGTGCCATAAAAGGGGGGTCCCGGTTCATGAGTGGGGGGATCCGACCCCAATCCCGGTTCATGAGTGGGGGGTCCCGTCCCAGTCCCAATCCACGAGGGGGGGGTTGTTATAAGTTAGTATAAGAATTTAGACAACTCAATTCCAATTAAACATTGATAAATTTATTAAGCAAGCGATAATAAAGCAAAACAGCCCTGGGTGGCCTGGAGGGCAAGTGCCCTGCCGAGACACACACCAAAATGTAGTAAATATTCCTTTTTATACATTTCCAAGTCCCGAGTTTTTACTGCGGCTGCGTTGAGGCTTCAGTTTGTAGCTCATTTTTAAGTGGTCATCTGGTATTTGTCAGAGATGAAAGGTGCAGTTTCTTATCAGTTGTAAATTTTACTGATACTGATACTTGTTTGTTTAGCAAGATGTCTGCAATTATTTTTACTGATACTTGCTTGATTAACAGGATGTCCATGAAACTTATCTTGTTGAATTATAACAAAAATTCCTTATTCCTTCATACACATAAGATTTTATGAACAAAGTTAACCCTTCTATTACAGGGTCAGACCCCAATCCTGGTTCATGAGCGGGGGGGTCAGACCCCAGTCCTGGTTCATGAGTGGGGGTCCAGTCCCGGTCCTGGTTCACGAGGGTGGTCCCGGTTCATGAGTGGGGGGATCCGACCCCAATCCCTGTGCACGAGGCGGGGTCAAACCCCAGTCCTGGTTCACGAGTGGGGGATCCCGATGCACGAGGGGGGGTCCGACCCCAATCCTGGTTTACCCGGGTGGGGGTCCTGATGCACGAGGGAGGGTCCGACCCCGATCCTGGTTCACGAGGGGGGGTCCAGTCCCAGTCCCGATGCGCGAGGGGGGTCCCGATGCACGAGGGGGGGTCCCGGTTCATCCGGGGTGGGTCCTGGTACATGAGTGGGGGGGGTCCAGTCCCGGTCCTGGCTCACGAGGCGTGGGGGTGTGGGTGGAGGGGGTCCGATCCCAGTCGGAACCAGCACGAAGAAGGGGGGTGGGGTGGTCTCGGTGCCCGGGGGAGTCGCCCCAGTTTCTCAGGGGGGGGTCCCAGTGCCTGAGTGGGGGATGGTCTTGATGCACGAGGGGGTCCTGATACACGAGGGGGGTGGTCCCGGTTTCGAGGGGGGTCCTGATGTACGAGGGGGTTGGTCTCGGTTTTGGAGGGGGGGGTCTCGATGTACGGGGGGGGTTCCCGGTCCCCCAGGTTTTAGGGGAGGGGGAAGAAGCTCAAGGATGTTTTTTTTGGGGTGAGTGGGTTGGGGGGAGGGTCAAGGTGATGGGGGATCCCAGCACACGAGGGAGGGTCCAGCCCCGGTGCACAAAATTCTTGGGGGTTTTTGGGGTGGGTGGGAGGTCCGGGGAGGATGGGGGAAGGTCCAGGGGGTCTCCCTGGTACACACGAATTTCTGGGTTTATCTCTTCTTTAGATTTATCTTTATCACAGTAGAGAGGGAGAATGATTTTTCCTGTAGCATTAACAGCCATGCAGGGGACAGGATAATTGTCCTGATCAGGCATTACGTATCTCAGGGTTACCGGATAGTTGGCCTCAGTAATCGGCTGCCAGGTCCCTGGCAGTTCTAACATAGACTCACCAAAGTTTGCTTTGTTTAGTAAAATGCCAGTGAGGGGCCAGCTGCCATCTTTACCGTCCACTGCTGGTATTTGGGTGCAAATCCAGCAGTCATCTCTGCGGAGGATTTTGGATACATTTTGGACTATGGCCACATGCAATTTTGGATCCCAAACTCGATTCATAGTTACCGACTGTACAGATAACATGTACAGTAGAAACAGTCTATGCCACATCTTCTTCCTCTGAGTCGGGTTCTGCTTTGCTGATAGTTCCAGGAACTGAAGCTTTCTTCACTCTGGAGTAATGAAACCAGGGTCCTTTGCCAGCAACTTTGACAGCAGTGAGGGAAGTCAGCAGGACTTGGAAAGGTCCTCTCCACTTGGCTCGCAGCGGGTCACTGTCCCACCATTTGATGTAGACCCAGTCTCCTGGTTGGAATTGATGAGCAGGGGTGTCCAATCCTCTAAGTCTGGAAAGCTCGACGAATTGCTGGAGCTTCTGTAAAGTAGAGCCTAAAGCAATTAAATACTTTTGTAAATCAACCTTCCCTCTCATGTGAATGTCCCCTGGAATGTGTGGAGCCTGGTATGGTCTTCCATACAATATTTCATAAGGACTTATGTTATCCCTCCGCCTTGGCTGGATGCGAATCCTCAGCAGAGCCAGAGGCAAAGCCTGAACCCATGACATGGATGTTTCCTGACAAATTTTACCAATTTGCATTTTAAGAGTGCCATTCATGCGTTCGACTTTGCCACTTGCCTGAGGTCTATAGGGAGTGTGGAGGTCCCAAACAATTCCTAGGACATGACACACCTCCTTCACTATCACTGCAATGAAATGTGTCCCTCTGTCTGATGACGTTCCCAGAGGAACCTAAATCTTGGAATTATGTGATTAAGCAAAGCTTTTACCACTTCCCTTGCTGTGTTAGTGTGACATGGGTAAGCTTCAGGCCATTTACTAAAAGTGTCAACCAGCACTAGAGTGTATTTGTACCCCTCCCTCGGTGGTAACTCAGCAAAATCTATTTGCCAATAATCTCCAGGGAGGTTCCCAGCCTTTGTCACTCCTAGCACCACCCTCTTGGTGGTATCCGGGTTGTTCTGCTGGCAGATTTCACACTTACTCACTATGGATTGCACTACTTCAGTCATGCCTGTCCCTATCACTACCTTCTTTAGGTGTTTGAGAAGGTTCTCTGTTCCCCAGTGGGGAGCCTCATGTTCCTGCAGAGCTATTTCCCTTAGGAGTGGGGGTGTGACCACAACCTGTCCTGTTGGTGTAACAGCCCACCCACTTTCTTTGATTTCAGCTTTAAGGGATTTAATTAATTGGTGGTCTTTCTCATCATATTTTGGGGTGTACCCTGTCAAATCAATCTCTTTCTGTGGTATTACTGCTAGAATGCCTTTTTCTGCAGCCCCTTTTGCAGCCTGGTCAGCAAAATGATTTCCCAATTCGGGAATTGTTTTCCCCTTCTGATGAGCTCTTCAGTGCATAATGGATACCTTTTCTGGCTTCCAAATACTTTGAAGGACTGCATGGATTTGGTCTGCATGTTTGATCCTACTGCAGTTAGCTCTTAGACACCCCGGCCATCCTGGGCTGACACTGCCTAGCTGTTTGGAGAAGTAGGCCACAGCCCTCCACTGGTGTCCCAGGGTCTGTGACAGTACCCCCAGGGCAACATTTAGTTGCTCATATGTAAACAGTTCAAAGGGCTTGGTTAGGTCTGGTAGTCCCAGTGCTGGAGCTGACATTTGTCGTGGTTTTGCCCTGGCTCAATTTACTTTTACACCCCCCACACAATTACTATCAGTTGAGAGAAGGTTTATGCAGACAAAAAGAGACTGAATTAAAAAAAGTATGAGTATTTATTATTAACAAACTAAAACTAAAGAATTATATTTACAACAATTCTACTTAAGTAAAAGGTATTATGTATTTACAGAAGATGCTTCTCCCCCCACTTCCCTTTATATCAGTCCAAGGAGGAGAAGCAGTCCTTTTCTGTTCTCGGAATTCCAGCTCTCTCTCTCTTTCTCTAGTAACTCTGCAGCACTTTCGTCGCAGCTGGAACTTCTTTATCTCTCTCTCGTTCTGTGTTGGCCTCCAGGGCTGGGCCTACCCCCCTCCTTGGCTAAAACCGAAGGCTGGGGGTTACTCAGGTCCTGAAGGGTCTCCTTCCATAGGCTTGCAAGGGGACACTTGCTTACTATGGATCTTCTTCCACAGGGTTACAGGGGATAATGGTTTAAGAGTTCACCCCTGTTTCCCTATGGAGGTCCCTCCCCATGGGAGAACAGTCCTTGATTGACTTCTCGGCATGGGTCCAGTCTGGATCCCTTACTCGGATCCCAATATCCCACCTGAGCCATTTTCTGTTCTAGCGTAGGTTCTCTCTAGCACCAGCAGCACGGATCCCACACATGGATCCCAACATCCCTACCTGAACCGTTTTCTGTTCCAGCGTAGGTTCTAATACCCGTCAGGGTCATAAATCTTCAACAGCAGCAGCATGGATCTCTCACTGAGATCCTAAGCTTATCTGAGCCGTCTCGCTCCAGCATAAGCATCGATCCCTTCGAGGGTCACAAAGTCTTTAACAGGATTCTGCCTCATCTGAGCCGCTTTTACTCCAGCATAAGGCTTTCTCTGTTAACGTCACAAATCTCTGGTGCATCCACAAGCTCTTCTGTGAGCCGCATGGGGGTCTCTTCACCCCAACAAACTTCTACAGGTGGCAGGGATTTTATTTTTCAGTCTTTACCCTGCTGAAGGGAGGGAGAGCGAAAGGGAGAAAAAAGCAGCTCTCCCCCCTTCGAACTTTTCTTCTCTCTCCTGTTGCAGCTTTGACCTTGAAAGTCTTGTTATCTCATGGCTGGAATTCTTTTGCAGCGGTTTCTCGTCTAAGCAGTTCGTCTTTTAAACCTTTTTTTTTCTTCACTCTCTCACAAGAGAGAAGGGAGGCTTCAGTGCTGCACCTGCCCCCCGGCCCAAGCCGAGGAGGAGGAGACCTTGGCCCTCCTCGGGCCCGCTACCCTTCTTTTCTACATGGCTGCTGCTCCTAATTTCAACTGCGCAACAACCTTCTCTTCCGTTTTCTTAAAGATGTAATTAGCAAAGGCGTCACTGAACTTTTTGATTGGTTTTTTGTCCGGAAATCACCTGGACAAAACCATCCTCAGCCCCAGGGATGGGCTGGTGGGCAAAACCACGACACATTAAGGACTGTTTCAGTTGTTTAAATGCAGGTCTGGTCTCATCTGTCCATGTCACAACTCCTTTCTTGGCTGCTTTCAGTGCTTCATATAGGGGTTTGACTAATAACCCATGGTCAGCTATCCACAGGCGACACCACCCCACCATTCCTAGGAAAGCCTGCATTTCTCGTACAGTGTGGGGCTCTGGGAGACGGCAGATGGCTTCTTTCCAATCTGTGCTGAGCTGTCGATGTCCACGATAGATTTCAAGCCCCAGGTAAATGACTATTTCCTTTGCCATGTGTGCTTTCTGTTTCGAGACCCTATACCCACTTAGTCCCAAAAAGTTTAAAAGACTTACAGTGAGCTCGATGCATTGGTCCTGACTTTTAGCAGCAATTAGTATGTCATCTACATACTGCAGGACAAGTCCTTCTGGCTGCTGCCTCCTCCAGTCCTCCAGTTCTTTTGCCAGCTGGTTTCCAAATATCGTCGGGTTGTTTTTATAGCCTTGCGGTAGGACAGTCCAGGTTAGTTGAGTTCTTCTCCCTGTCAGGATTTTCCCATTCAAAAGCAAAAAGCTCTTGGCTGTCCTTGTGCACAGGAATGAAGAAAAAGGCATCCTTTAGATCAAGCACTGTAAACCACCCTAATTCCTCTGTTAATGGGGTTAACAAGGTACAGGGGTTTGCTATCCTCTGTTATTTTATTGATTGCCCTCAGATCTTGGACCAATCGATAGCTCTTACCATCAGCTTTCTTCACTAAAAGGATGGGGGTGTTATATTTGGACTCACATTCTACCAATAGGCCAAACTTAAGAAACTTTTCAATTATGGGTGCTAAACCTTGATGACTTTCTAGCTTCAAGGGGTATTGTTTTTGCCTTACCGGTGTTGCTCCTGGCTTGAGCGTGATGCTTACGGGTTCTGCTTGCTTGGACCTCCCAGGGTAACCACGAGCCCACACTAAAGGGATGACGGCATTCTCAACCTCTGCAGGGATCTCTCCATGGTTCTCCTGCATGAAGAAGGCAGCTGCCTCAATATATTTAATGTCAGGGATGACAACTTTTATTCCCCCCTTACAGAATTTAATTTCAGCTTCCAATTTCTCTAATAAATTTCTACCCAATAAAGGCATGGGAGAATTTGGCATATAGAGGAATTGATGAGTTACCCAGTGTTTGCCTAATTTAAATTTCAAAGGTTTGAAGAAAGGCCTGGTTTCACTTACCCCTGTGGCACCAACCACAGTTACAGTATTATGACTCAGTTTCCCTTCCAAGGTGTTTAACACAGAATATGCAGCACCTGTATCAACTAAAAATTCCACATCTTCTCCCCCCAGCTTAGCTACAACCAGAGGTTCTGCTGGGGTAGAATTCTCTGGTCCCCTTCATGCATTCTGGTTTAAAGTCAGTTGGGAGGCTGGAGGAGGGGGCGGGAATTCACTTCTCCTCTTCGAGTCTGGACAATCCCTTCTCCAGTGACCCTTCTTTTTACAGAAAGAACATATATCCTCAGAAACTTCTGTGCCTGTATCAGTAAACTTTAATCTGCTCCTCCCCCAATGCTGTAACTCTAAACCCTCCCATCCCCGTGTCCGTGGTAACCGCACCCGTGCCTGGCACTCCCGGAATGGCCCAGGGGGAGCCACTGCCGCCCCCCCGTAACCAAAAGGGCCCATGGCTCCAGTCAGGACTGGCCCCGCAGTCCAGGGAGGGGCTACCGCCCCCGGCCCGACACTGGCAGAGCCCGCACCTCCAGACGGGACTGGCCCCACAGCCCCGGGAGGGGCCATCGCCCCCCGATCACCGACACCCAGGGAGCTCGCAGCTCCAGACAGGACCGGCCCCGCGGCCCCAGAAGGGGCTGGCTCCGCAGCTCCAGGAGGGGCTGCCTCCGGCCCGGCCGGTGCCAGAGCTCCCAGCGCAGCCGGGGCAGAGGCCGCCCCCGCTCCCGCCGCTCCCGTGCCGGTTGGAACAGCCAGAGCCGACCCCGCAGGTCCCGGAGCACTCACAGCAGTCCCCAGGGCCCCCGCTCCGCCCGGAGCGGTCCCAGCCTGTCCGTCCACACTACCCGAGACCCCCGAAGCATCCGGACCCAGCACCGCAGGTCCAGCTGGCCCCGCCGAGCCGGCAGGACCCGCTCCAGGCGCTACCCCCGCCCCTGATGCACCCGCAGCCTGAGCCGAAGGGGGGCTTCCTATTCTCATATTTGCGGGAATTAAAAGGTCCAGATCTTCATTTCCAGGGCTTTCAAGATTAATTTCACTGCTAGGATCACGCTTAGCACGATTTTTCTTTTTCTCCTCTAATGCCATTTCTGGGAGTTCTGTTTCTATTTGAACTTTATTCTTTTTATATTCCTTTCTCAATTTCGGATGGGTTAAGAAAAGGTAGAATAACTCTGCATAATGCAATTCAGACTACATTTCCTCCTTATGAGGGATTGTCATAAGATGAAACACTATATTTGCCTCAAAAGAGCCAAATTTCGGCCAGGCTAATCTTCCAATTTGCCCGCTGTAGGGCTAGACATTCATAGAGAGTGTAACTAACTTCTGTCTTTTTAAAGACCACTTAAAGGGCCACTTAAATCATCCCAATACCATAAAACCAAAGCGAGAGGGGTTCTCTCTGGAATTTTTTCTTTAGTTTGTACACATCCCATATTAATAAACAACACACAAGGAAAACGACAGATCTAGTCTAGAATTCACAGCTACATACACACACTGCAGACTCTGTATCCAAACACTACCAGGTTTAGGCAGAAACACAAAGTTTCAACCAGGGGAGGCGTCCTGCCCCCTTCTGCAGCCACACCTGGCCAACACGAAACCCAAAATCCTCCTGCCTGCCCTAACTTAAACTTCCCAGCCAGTTCCACTGCCCACTCCGGCAAAAATCCCTTTGCCAACAGACTGGGAAAACACTGACTTTTGGGCTCAAGTCCAAGTTTCCCTTCCCAGTCTCACCGTATTCCCTAGCCCTGGGAAAACTCCTTCCCGCAGCTGCTAATTAAAATTCTCTAGGAGTTTTGTTCTTTATCTTACCTCCGTGGGTAGGTCCGAGAAGCTGGGCTCCCCCAAGATCAGAGCAGGAATTCTTCAAGATATGCTGGCCGGAGAAGATATCCCTGCAAAATGGAATATCGACCCAGAGGAGTCACAAGTCCTGATGTCCCCGTACGGGAGCCACCAAAACTTTTGCCTAAATGGTTGTGGGGAAAAACAAGACTCCAAGCCAAATTAGGTAGGAGATAAGATAAGGATACAAAGGCTTTAATGAGCCCCCAGGCTTTCCGGAATACCCCAACGTGCGCTCTGGAATACAGATGTCCACAGATTTTATAATGATTTTCACCCAATCCCCATCCGGCCACCACCCAGGTTCTGCCCCCGCCACGCCTCTTGGGAATTGGGTCTGGGGGAGTGTCATGGTTTTGCCCACCAGCCCATCCCTGGGGCTGAGGATGGTTTTGTCCAGGTGATTTCTGGACAAAAAACCAATCAAAAAGTTCAGTGACGCCTTTGCTAATTACATCTTTAAGAAAACGGAAGAGAAGGTTGGTGTCACAGTTGAAATTAGGAGCAGCAGCCATGTAGAAGAGACGCGGTGGGCCCGAGGAGGGCCAAGGCCCCCTCCTCCCCGGCTTGGGCCAGGGGGGGCAGGTGTAGTACTGAAGCCTCTCTTCTCTCTTGTGAGAGAGTGAAGAAAAAAAAAGGTTTAAAAGACGAACTGCTTAGACGAGAAACCGCTGCAGAAGAATTCCAGCCATGAGATAACAGGATTTTCAAGGCCAAAGCTACAGTCGCAGGAGAGAGAAGAAAAGTTCGAAGGGGGGAGAGCTGCTGTTCTTCTCCCTTTCGCTCTCTCTCCCTTCAGCAGGGTAAAGACTGAAAAATATAATCCCTGCCACCTGTAGAAGTTTGTTGGGGTGAAGAGACCCCCCATGCGGCTCACAGAGGAGCTTGTGGATGCACCAGAGATTTGTGACTTTAACAGAGAGAAAACCTTATGCTGGAGCAGGAGTGGCTCAGATGAGGCAGAGTCCTGTTAAAGACTTTGTAACCCTCGAAGGGGATGATGCTTATGCTGGAGCGAGACGGCTCAGATAAGCTCGGGATCTCAGTGAGAGATCCGTGCTACTAGTGCTAAAAATTTGTGACCCTGAGAGGACCTACGCTGGAACAGAAAACGGTTCGGGTAGGGATGTTGGGATCCATGTGTGGGATCCGTGCTGCTGGTGCTGGAGATTTGTGATCCTGAGAGAACCTACGCTGAAGCAGAAAACGGCTCGGGTAGGGATATTGAAAATTTATGACCCTGAGGGGAATGAGAGAACCTTACGCTGGAGCAGGAACGGCTCGGGTAAGGATGTTAGAATCCACATGTAGGATCCAGACTAGACCCATACCGAGAAGTCAATCAAGGACTGTTCTCCCATGGGGAGGGACCTCCATAGGGAAACAGGGGTGAACTCTTAAACCATTATCCCCTGTAACCCTGTGGAAGAAGATCCATAGTAAGCAAGTGTCCCCTTGCAAGCCTATGGAAAGAAACCCTTCAAAACCTGGGTAACCCCCAACCTTCGGTTTTAGCCCAGGAGGGGGGTAGGCCCAGCCCTGGAGGCCAACACAGAATGAAAGAGAGATAAAGAAGTTGCAGCTGCGACGAAAGTGCTGCAGAGTTAATGGAGAGAAAAAGAGCTGGAATTCCGAGAACAGAAAAGGACTACTTCTCCTCCTTGGATTAATATAAAGGGAGGTGGGGGAGAAGTATCTTCTGTAAATACATAATACCTTTTACTTAAGTAGAATTGTTGTAAATATAATTCTTTAGTTTTAGTTTGTTAATAATAAATACTCATACTTTTTTTTTCCAATTCAGTCTCTTTTTGTCTGCATAAACCTTCTCTCAACTGATAGTAATTGTATGGGGGGTATAAAAAAAAAATTGAACCAGGGCAAAACCACGACATTTTTGGTGGAGAATGCGGGCAAAGACTACCCAGAAAGGCAGTGACTAAATCAAACCCCAACATTTTTAGTACCTCATGTGAGGAATTGGCCATAATAATTTTAAGATAACTGAGAGAAAAGTTTACAGACAAAAATAGACTGACCATGTGTACTGCGATTGTAGTAAAAAGAGAATAATAGAGTTAAATATTATAGTGATGTTGTTTCAATTTTTAATAAAGTAATTTTTAGTTATAGCTTGTTTATTTATAATTGTATGTTGACTGTAGAATTTAAAATTTCTTAAAATGTAATTTGCAAAGGCGAAGGGGGGAATTGTCATGGTTTTGCCCACCAGCCCATCCCTGGGGCTGAGGATGGTTTTGTCCAAGTGTCCCAGTTTAAATGAGACAAGGGTCTTTTGCTGAGGATGAATTAGGAGGAAAAGACCCAAACTTCTCTTTCCAAGCAATTATAAATCCAAAATTAAGAGGCTTCGATTGAAGGAAAACAAATTATGGAAAAGTGAAAAAATAACAGCCCTTTATTAAAAGGTATGTGTGTGTTAACAGGAACACGGAAAAAAAAAAAAAAAACAAACAAGTAAAATAACTAAGTAATACTCCTATACCCACCAATAATCCCCTTCATGAACAAAACCGATAAACCAGCAAAAGGAAAATAGTTCAATTTCTTGCACCCTTTGGTGCAGTTCCAACCACAGTCAGCAGGGGGCGCCGTCGGGTCACTGGAGATGCAAAATTTGTAATGTCCTGTACCATTCACCAGGTGGCGCTGTTGGGTCACTGAAGGTGTAAAAAACTTGTAGTGTCCTATTGTAGTCACCAGGTGGCACTGTTGGATCACTGGAGGAGTAGAATTTGTAATGTCCAGTGCCCGTCACAAGGTGGCGCTGTTGGATCCTTGGCTGCCACCGGGGGACGGGACACACACAACAGCAATAAAACAGAAAGTTCTCCCAATGGAAGAAAACTCACAAACCTCAGCTGACCAGGGCCCGCCGCAAGCAGGGCCTGCAGTCAACCAGAGGTGAGCCAAGAGCAGCAGCCAGAAACTCCCCTCCGACAGGAAAAAAAAAAAAAGGAGCCCGGCACTGTCTGCAGCCCGCAGCAGCCTCCCACCCCGGCAGAGAGAGAGAGAGAGAGTCTCCTCCCCCCCAGCCTCCACCCCCTTCCAGTCACACACCAGCCAACTCCCCCCTTCGTTGTCAAGGAGACAAATCTCCACCATTAAGGGCTTCTTTTGTTCAACTAAATGGCCCATCACAGAGCACACACACACACACACACACACACACACACACACACACACACACACGGCAGGAGGAAAGGAAAGAAAAATTCCTTGCTAAAAAATACGAACTATGACATTATCCACCCCTAATTTTTTTTCCTTTTCTCATGCCACCATACATCTATCAAATTGAACCTTTTTTTTTTTTTTTAACTCCACATATACATACATTATTCTAGACTATGTACATATTTACAAATACATACAGATACAAATATGGGTAGAGTTATGACCTGTTTACCCTAAGATAATATCTCCTTGGGGTATGCACCGGGTTTCCCCATCTTCTTGCATCACCCACCATGTGCAACCAGGTCCTTGGGCAAAGACAACTCCACGAATGGATTTGCCTTTGCTCGAGGTATGGTTAACCCAAACTGTTTTACCTAACATACCTCTCATGTGAACCACTGGGACCTTGTCCCCGTCTACAGTGTGAAGGGACTCTGATTGGGCAGGGCCAGCTCGATTGACGGAGCCTCTAGTGTTGACTAACCATGTAGCCTTTGCTAGGTGTTGATCCCAGTGTTTGAAAGTCCCTCCACCTAATGCTTTCAGGGTAGTCTTCAACAGTCCATTGCACCGTTCAACCTTCCCGGCAGCTGCTGCATGGTATGGTATGTGATAGATACTCAATGCCATGCTCTTTCGCCCAGGTGGTAACTAAACTATTTTTGAAGTGTGTCCCATTATCTGACTCAATCCGCTCTGGGGTGCCGTGCCGCCACAGGACCTGTTTTTCGAGGCCCAGGATGGTATTTCTGGCAGTGGCGTGAGGCACCGGATGCGTCTCCAGCCATCCAGTGGTGGCTTCCACCATGGTGAGCACATAGTGCTTACCTTGACGGGTCTGTGGCAGTGTGATATAATCAACCTGCCAAGCCTCCCCATACCTGTATTTATTCCACCGTCCACCATACCATAGGGGTTTCAGTCTCTTAGCCTGTTTAATGGCAGCGCATGTCTCAGAGTCATGGATAACCTGAGAGATAGCATCCATGGTTAGATCCACCCCTCGGTCTCGTGCCCATTTGTAGGTGGCATCTCTGCCTTGATGGCCGGCGGCATCATGAGCCCATCGTGCTAAGAACAGTTCACCTTTGTGCTGCCAGTCTAGGTCCACCTGTGACACCTCAACTTGTGCAGCTCGGTCTGCCTGTTCATTGTTGCGATGTTCTTCATTGGCTCGATTTTTGGGCACGTGGGCATCTACGTGGCGGACCCTCACAATCAGCTTCTCTACCCGGGTAGCGATGTCTTGCCATATATCAGCGGCCCAGATGGGTTTTCCCCTACGTTTCCAATTGGTCTTCTTCCATCTGTCCAACCACCCCCACAGGGCATTGGCCACCATCCATGAGTCCGTGTAGAGGTAAAGTTTTGGCCACTTCTCTCATTCAGCAATGTCCAGTGCCAACTGGACAGCTTTTAGCTCTGCGAATTGGCTTGATTCACCCTCTCCTTCCATAGCTTCTGCAACTTGTCGTGTGGGACTCCATACAGCTGCTTTCCATTTACGTTTCATCCCTACAATACGGCAGGAACCATCAGTAAAGAGTGCGTAGCGTATGTCTTCTTCTGGTAGTTGGTTGTATGCTGGGGCTTCCTCTGCCTGTACCACCTGCTCTCCTTCTTCTTCTTCTGCTAGACTAAAATCCTCACCTTCCGGCCAGTTCGTGATGATTTGTAGGATCCCAGGGCGATTTGGGTTTCCAATGCGGGCGCGCTGCGTGATCAGGGCAGTCCATTTGCTCCAGGTAGCATCAGTGGCATGATGAGTAGAGGGCGTCTTCCCTTTGAACATCCAACTCAACACTGGCAGCCGAGGTGCCAGGAGGAGCTGTTCTTCTGTGCCAGTCACCTCTGAGGCAGCTTGTACTCCCTCATAAGCTGCTAGGATCTCTTTTTCTGTTGGAGTGTAATTGGCTTCCGATCCCCTGTAGCCACTGGGACCACACTGGGAGTGACTGGGAGTGGCTGTGAGCAACTGGGATCATGCTGGAATCACGGCAAAGAGATTTCTTCCTTAAAATCCTCCTTTTGGCCAGAGAAGCCTGGGTGCCATCGCAGATGTTTCATGCGGTGTTGGAGCATTCCCAGGAGCACAAATCCACAGGGATCTGCTGCAAAGTCGCCTCCAGAAAGGCCAAACCAGCCCAGGGTGAGTTTTGTAGCCAAACACAACCAGGTTTGTGTTTCCAGGGTCACCAGCTCTGCCCTTCTCACCCCTCTGAGGTGGG